TGCATTGTTGTGTTAGCATGCTAATGCTAGCGATCTTTATTATGCTGGTATCTTCACACTGCATGTAAATTTACCTGAAATGAGCGTGATCTAGAAACACAGTTTAAGCAGTGAGTACAGTATGTTATTCTTCTTTCTCTAGTCCCTCAATTAAACAACTTTTATACACGAGGGGAGGAGTCAGCCGATTGTCCTGGCGATGTAAACAAAGTGAAGATAGGACTCAGAAAACATCACAGACAGTGGGACTCGGGTGTTACACCCATTGTAGACAGTCATGACTCACAGAGTTATTTTCAGAGGATATACTTGATTTATATTATATTTAAGTGTGAAAAATCTCATAGAAAGACTTTAACATCTAAACTCCACCATGTCTGTACGCCTCTCTTCATCACAAACAACATTAGCCTAAAGCAGACAGCGTCCTCTGCTGGTTTAAAAACATATCGCAGTATACAATTTTGTCAAATAGATTTAAATCATCCATATTTGTACAAACTTTAAAAAGTGTTTCAGATATCACATCACTGCCATTTCTGCTTTAGAATTGAGGATGCTATACTCGTTCCTTTGTACTAGTTTTTACTTTTGTTTGTCGTTTTTTTGTTCAATTCTTTCGGACAAATAGTCCACACCTGCACCAGAAGGACACGGACCTCATGCAGAAACCACGCTTATATAACCACGTTTGCAAGCACGTCTTCAAATGTGCTTCATGTTATGTTGCATGCCGATAACAATTCGTCAGCTATTAAAGAAACTTAATAAGGAACGCTTTAAAATCAGATTTCAAAACAACATAACACAACTGCTGAGCAAAAATCAGGTGATTTTAATTTTACTGTCCAACACAATATATGAGCGTGAGCGGTGTGAATGTGAAGTGTTAACCCAACAGTTCTATCATCAGTATGTCCTGTTTGTAAGGGGTTATTAAAAATGTGATTTACAAGCCATCTCAACTGTTTTTCAGTTAAGTAAAACGATGTCTGCGAGAACTGCTCAAGAAACGTTTGCAGCTCCCTGTAATGTCAGTACAGCGCCCCCTGCTGTCAGCTCACTGTTTAAACACATGATCAATTTATTATCCAATTTCAGAGCTTTTTTTTCACACTTAGGACGATGCATTTTTGTCATCCAATCTCCATTTTCCTACATTTTAAGAAACATTTAGATGAAATAGAGCGGTAAATGTAGCTGGTTAAAAAGATGATCTCTTGTTTACCTGTTTTGATTTTTTTTTTTTTTCAGAGTTTGGAGTCCTCAAAGAAGCCCAACAAGACGCCAGTGAAACAAAACGGTCCTGCAGGAAAACCATCCGGCTCAGGAATCATACCACAGATGAAGGTAGGGGAGGCTGTGGACATCTTTGTTTGTGTTTTAATTTATTAGGTAGCCCAAAGCCAATTGATTGGATAATGAAGTCATCTGAGAAGTTAAGTGAAGGCAGACATTAATGAAGGGTCAGTGGTAGAGTTGGTCGTCTCTAAGCCGGATGGTCGGGGGTTCGATCCCCAGGTCCTACAGCCACATGGCAAGACACTTTACCTCAAGTTGCTCCGGCTGCTTTGTCAGCGGTGAATGTGTATGAACGGGATTAGTTCATTCTGATGGAAACTTTACTCAGCAGCCTCTACCATCAGGGTGTGAATGTGTCGGTGCTATACAAGCTCAAGTCCATTTACCATTTAGCTTTTTTTCCAGAAGTTACCCAGAATAATGGGATATTTGTTTAGTTTGATGCTCCTTAATGACGGCACCAGTAATGCACGCAGACACAGTATTCCTGTTCTCAACCACATAGGGCAGTTCTGAAGCGGCCATGCCTTACACTCCTTATAACCTCTTCAGGGTTCCCACTCGTCTTGGAAAATCTGAAAAGCAGTTGACTAATTTTCCAGTACTGGAAAACACCTAGAAAATGAGAGAAAAAGTCCTGGAAAATTATTCCAACACTCCTCCACATTTTCACCGCCATACGTTAATAAAAGTATCTATTTGTTACATAATCCACAATGCAGATTGAGTCGAATTCTATAGATAATGATAATGTAATGCCCCCCCCCCCCCCTCGTGTCAAAGGCCGATATTTATTTACAATTTAGTTGACAGGATGTAGTGAAAAGATCCTTCACAAAAACAGAAAAAAACATCATGAGAGTGAATTGTGGCTGTTGTATTAAATAGCATCCTATTAGAAAAGCAGCCAAAGAAACAACAACTGCAGAACATTCTCAAAAAGCAAAATCAGGTTTCAATGACAGAGGTTAATTGTTTGCGTTTAAGTCCAACTACAATTAAAACATTCCTAAAAGGAAAAAAAAAAAAAGACTTTAAGTGTCCCCATTCAGCCACAGAAGAATGTGATGAATGCTCATTGCAATTAGCTCAAACTGATAGTTAATTTCTCAAGTGAAATGTCTCGCAAAGCCTGAACTCTGCCTTTCTTTAAGCAAACACACCTGACCTTTAAATGGGTTCCCCTGGGGGCTAGGTTTTAACCCGACCCCTGTGCCTGACCCCGCCGTCTTGTCTTGCCGCCTCCTCTGATAAGTGGCTGTGAGCACACGTTTACATTCGTAAGTTCAAAGTGGAGAGCTTTATGCAAAGGTTCACACATTTCACAAAGCATGAGGTCGACCAAAACTCTTTTTAGTGTTGGAGCACAAATGCTGCCGGATTTTATGCTAAACATAGCTAATGCTAAAGGCCATTATATCATTCACTTGAACACCCATTAACACAAGAGGATTGTCATTTCTCCTCAGATGTCTTTAAAAGAAAGATGGCTAATTTTGATCACGTTAAACACTAAGCCTACTGGATTGCTAAATTCCTGAGATGAAAAAAAGAAAATTCCCCTCAGGGCCAACATGGTGTGTGTATGTGCAGGAGAGGCCGTCGCCCAGACATAAACACAGCAGCTCTTAGGATGCTCCGGGGGGGATTAGCTGACGGGCAGTCATCCCCACCAGTTTAACTTTTCTGGCCCGTGGAGCTTCAACTGCCCCCCCCGTCCCCCCTTCCCCCTCTCCACTTCTTAACAACAACTGTTCCCGCTCTACAACCTCTTCACACCCCTCACTTCCTGGACACACCTTCTCCCAATTGCTCTCATTAACCAGCGTTTGATGTCTGGTGCAGCTTGCGCTTCCAGATGCCCCTGAGGAGTTGGAGGCGGGGCGTGGATGTCTGTTTTTTCTTTACTAAATGCAGGTGACTGGTCATTACACCGTCTTGTCAGATCTGCTGCCAGGACCGCAGTTCTCACCTCTCTCGCAGCCCAGCGTGTCGCTCTTACCTTCTTCTTGTGTAACAGGCTCGACATGAGTCGTGGCTGATTTTGAAGTAACTTCATCTTGCAGCTGGTGTCTTTTGATTGATGGCTTTGGAGGAGTCGATGCCTTCAAGCGCACGTCACAGTCGTAAAGTTGTTAAGCACTCCACTCGAGCTTATCCCAAAAGGGTGTGAGTCATTGTTTCAGCGACTGATAGACGTGTGTTAGAGCAGGTGCCTGTGTTGTTCTTTCAACGATGTTTGATTCTAACTAAAGTCCCCTTTCACACTTACACCGCAACCCTGAACTTTTCCACACATTACCCTGAGGAGCTGTTTGTGTTTGTTCTTGTAATGAACTTTAACGTGCCTATTAAAGTGCTTAAAATGAATAAATCAATCTTTATTTGTATAGCACCAATTCATAACAAATGTGATCTCAAGACACTTTACAAACAAGCAGGTAAAAGACACTTTGTACTGTTTACAAAGATCCAACATGAATCCATCATGAGTGCTTAGCGACATTAGCAACAAGTTTCAGTGGCTATCAAGAGAATCAGAATCAGAATCTGGGTTTATTTCCAAGGACATTTACACATACAAGGAATTTGACTTGGTGTATTGGTGCTAAACAATTAACAGGAAATAAAGCAGAACTAGCAACAACTTAAATAATACAGAATAAGAAGCTATTACAATATATCAAAAAGAATTTAAAAATGTAAAATATGAAATATAAATACATGAAAAAACTCAAAATGTACAAAAGGTGCAATGTAGGAGCTGTGTAGTGGACTATGAGGAAAAAAAAAGAGGCAGAAAGCTCGAACAGAACCAGACTCATGATGAACAGACGTCTGCTGAAACTGTGCTCGGCTTGGAGAGTGAGATAGAGGGAGATGCAGGAAGAACGAGACAGATCGACAAACAGAGCAACAACAAGAATTAATAAGACAGATTTAAAGCTACAATATCAATATGTAATAATGGCAAAAGTATGTGTAGTATTAGCAGTAACGGCTTAGTATGATAACAGACTGATCAGTCTAATATAAACATTAGCAACTGTAATGATGTTGAAACGGGAAAGACAGATTATGTTAACTTTGTAGTAGTTCAAGTTGAGCAGCTCTAAGATTCTCTTTAATATTTATAAAAATGATAAAAGATCTAATTCAAAGTTTGAATCAGCAGTAAGGTAACTAGCTTGTCAGTATTACATTGATGAGGCACAAAACATCAGAGAAAGCCACATGATTTGCTTCTGTCTACAAATGTCAACCAATACCGATGTTCAACCGATGTTAGAATGCGTTCCTATTTTTAACCTGTTACTCCGTGTAAGCTGTAAGGCTGATTAAAAAAAAAATTATATTGTAGTCACACACAACTTCTGCCGGACCCTTTCATGACGTAATCATCCAGATTTTAAATTCTAAATATCAAACATGTTTGAAATAAATCGGGGCGTCCCCGACGATCGGCGGGCAGATCGGGGACGTTGAGATTGGATCTTTGGACCGCTCACACTACGAGATAATCTCAACAGATAATCGGTCCGAGCAGCCTCGAGTCGGGAGCGAACCCTGCGATTGTCGGGAAGGAAGAGTCGGAGCTCAAATCGGCCCGATTATCTCGCAGTGTGAGTCAGGCTTTAGGTTTTAACCCCAGTTCTAAATCAGGTAGAGTACTTTAAGTATGTGAGAAGGCGTCTAACACAGTCAGTGTAACGCTGTGTGAAGGACCATGTCTGCACTTTATATGTAATGGTGATTTATATAAGAAAATGACCTATGACACTGAGTTTTTCCATGACCAACCGTCCTCAGTGAGTCATGGCTGAGTCCAGACAAAGGCCCTCGAAGCGCTCATTCCAACGAAATGACAATAACCCTCCCCGACACACCTGATGAGCAAAAGGTGTCACAACCATGTGTTTGCACTGGATTGGAGGCCAAGAGATTGCATCAAATGATAGCATGCTTGTGATTAAGTTCCAAGTCTCGTGGCATCTGTAATCAGTGTCTGGCCCAGATGAAAAAGCTTTGCCGTGCTTTGTGTGTTTATCAGCTGTTTCAGGTCCACAGCTGTCCTTTGGAAGTCGAGAGGAGCTGCCCATAAATAATAATACGTAGTGCATTTGTCTGGCCGGGAGCCAGCAGCATATGTGCTCCCTTTTTTTTTTTTTGAAGTGTGGTATGTGTGTCAAGGTTTTCTTCATTTAATTCCTTTGATCTTTGCTATAAAATGCAGAAGTCTTGGGGACAGGGACAGATAATTGCATTTCTCAACGAAGAGAGATTTTATTTTCTCAGGAATATTCCACCTGTTTTTTTTTTAACCATTTCAAGTCTCCTGTTGGTTTTCAAACCCTAAAGTTGCTTATGGTGTTTGAAGTATTATATAAATACATACTGTGTCACATTGGCTGTCACTTTTAATCCAAAGAACCGGACCATTAGGGTAGGGCGGGGGAAAAAAGCTCTGCCTGTGAAACCAGTCCAACCATTACTCAATAAAGTGTGACCCTTTGTATTTCCAACAAACCCCCGTTTTTAAAACTACGGCTAAAGGCACGTTGTCATTCCAAGGACCCCCATGAAGCATCATCCTGGAATGACTGGAACCCCCCCTCTCTATGAAAGTTTCTTAAATTACTCTGTTGATGATTGGCATAGAAAAAGAACACAGATGTGTGTATGAGATGATTAGTAACATCTAAAAAGACATACAGTATATTGAAGTTGTGTTATTAGTTAGTTATGTTTGTTTCACCCCCCCTCCGTCCCCTAATCACCAAGTTTCTGCACCTCCTCTGGTGACCCCCAAGGGGATCCAGAACCCCACTTTGATAAACCCTGTCCTAAGGTACATTGTACAAACAGCAGAAGAAGGAAATGGATACAGACACCAATTTCAGGAAAGAATACTGATATGGCCACTGATTTTGAGCTGAATATAGCTATACCTTTTCAATTAAGGGTGTGGACTCATATGACAATGCAAAGGTGCCTGCTTAGCTGTGATACTGTGATAGTCTCATACATAGTCTGCAGGCAGTGATAAGTATGTGTCTGATGTAGTTTTTCTACAATTCACTTAGCAGACGCTTTATCCAAAGCGACGTACATCAGAGAGTAAGAACAACACAAGCAAGGATCTAGAAAAAAGGGAACAATGTCAGTAAGAGCAAACGATCAGCTTTGAGTCTGATTGGACACACAGGTGCTGACAGGAAGTGACCAGAGGCAAAGCACAACATTGAGGGCAGTTCTTGAGAGCTCTAATCAGTATAGAAACCATCTTATAAGTCATCATTATCAAACAAAAACAATCGTCATTACCATCATCATCATCAATAATATGGAGACCATCATCATTAAGTTAGTAGGTATTCATGAAGAGCTGGGTCTTTAGCTTTTTCTTAAAGGTGCAGAGGGACTCTGCAGATCACATGGAGTTTGGAAGTTCATTCCACCACCGGGGGGCGACAGAGGAGAAGAGTCTAGTCAGCGTCTTAGGACCCTGTTGTGCAGGTTGGATCAGACGCCTTTCATTGGCAGAGCGTAGTGAGCGGGAGTTTTTGTATTTAACTTTCATTGTAAAATGTTTAAGCCATTATCAAGATATTTGTCATAGGCTTTTAACAGCCGATCTATTATTCAGCTCTTCGGCACAAGTCTCCAATAAAGCACATACTATGTGCATAGCAAGGCATCACATATTAATGTTCCTTTATTTTTCTTTTAAAGCACATTTGTTGTTCTTACTAACACATTTTTATGACAGCCGAAATCTGTACATTGACAGCTTTTGTTAAAACTTTGTTTGAGATTTTACCTCCTATTGTTTGGGACTAGTACACAGAAATCTGAAAGTCAAAATGCTGATATGCAGCGTACATTAAAATAGTTAAAAATGTCCTGGACGTGAAGTTTTTTCTGTTTTGTGACTCATCTGGGTAAAAAGTCGCTTTAGACATGGCTTCACTCTTCTTTCAAATGTGTCTCTGGCTATCAATGAAACCCTGCAATTTTCACTGGAATCCACACCGGCTGTGCATGTAAGGGCAAGTTCTGGGGCTTGTGTAACATGCAGTACCTGTGTGTGTGCGTGTGTGCGCGTGTGCGCGTGTGTGGGTGTGTGTACTGTATTTGTGTGCACATTTCTAATTTGGGACCTCAAGGTGCCTTGAATGCCCAGGTCTGGACACATGTGAGGGCTTGTTAGTTCAATGCTTTTTTTAAAAACAGCTCCTATAATGTCACAAAAACAAGGTTGCTTGGGACAGTACTTTTTCTATTAATTTAAATTTGATTTAATTGTATGTGCTTCATTGTTACATAAAACCAGATGAAAATGACACCTGCAACGTCTCACTCTCTTCTTGTAAAACATGCTACACACACATCAGTCCCAAAAGCAGAAACAGGACGTACAGTAAGGAAATGCATCATTGGAGAGACAGAGGGCTGCACAGAGACTGGCGTTCGGAGCAGGTGGGGGTTCAGTGCCTTGCTGAAGAGCACTATTGTACCACTCTAGAATTGAGTTGACACCTCTCCAGCAACCAGGCCCACTTGGTACATACCGGGACTTGGACTGGCCCCGACCATGTCCAACACAATTCCTGACCTATGCACTGACTTTGCACCATTATGACAAATGGCAAACATGCTCAGGAGCTGATTTCTTAAACAGATACTTTTATCTTAGTAGAACTAACTGTAAGATATTTCAACCAATTCATTTTTAACCATTTCCATCATAGTTGTCTGCTCAGCTTTGATGCTAAGCTGCATTTGCTGCAGACAGTGCTGAGAGTATTCTAAACTGTAGAGCCGTAGCATGCTCTGCTGGGCACATTACATAAAAGTATCATAAGTGACTCATCTTACGTAATGTTTTCTACATAAATGGTTTTAATATTGGTTTATGTCCAAATAACAGAAATAAATGGACTTGAGCTTGTAAAGCGATTTTTCTAGTCTTCTGACTCCTCAAAGCGCTTTTTACACCACAGGTCACACCTCCACATTCACACACTGATGGTAGAGGCTGCTGAGTAAAGTGTCCATCAGAAGTAACTAATCCTATTCATACACCACAGGCGAAGCAGCGGGAGCAATTTGAGGTTAAGTGTCTCGCCCAAGGATACATCGGACATGGTGCTGCAGGAACTGGGTATCGAACTCTCGACCTTCTTGTTGAGGGACGACTGACTCTACCAACTGAGCCACAGATACTTATATCTATTACAGGCCATTAATATCAGCCAGCACATGTATCAGAGTGCTTCTAGTCTTGACCTTTTATAAACTTGTGTCAGAAATAGTGTCGGTGTCCGTTTGATGTCAGGTGTTTGTTCTGTTAAGTGCACTTGTTGGAAATTTGCCGTTAAAGGAAAAAACACATTTGCCAAACGATCTCTGCTGGTGAGTCAGGGCTTGCCCTCTCCGGCTTGCAGACAATAAAAAACATAATTTGTACCTGATGTATTTGGATTTTAAAAAAAACAAAAAAAGATGGTGTAATTAGCTTAGAATTTGTTGTCCTTTTGTAATGCTTTCATCTTTCTCCAGCTGGTTGCCCATGCCAAGCTTGTAAAGTCAGACCCAGACCGTAATGGGTCACGATAGGGCTGGAGCTTAGAACGGCCCGTTGGTCAGCTAACGGATTCATCGCCAAAGAAGTCAGAACTAGTGCTTTTCAGTAGAGGTCAAATGAGAACACAAAATGTAACAGCAAGAGCCGAGCTTGAGTCATAAAAGAAATACTGTGCCGTAATATGAAGCTTATCTTTTAATCTACAACTCTACAAATCTTGCTCTATTTGACAAATCAATCAGTGCTTCTTATCTACGTGATGTATTGTTTTGAAGACACCTGCCCCGGGAAAAGACAAACCCCAGGCCGGCCCGTCTAAATCTCCCTCCCTGACCGAGATTAAGAGCAAGTTGTCAACGACCGCCAAGGAGGTAAGGGCTTGTCATCCTCTCTTTGCAAAATTACCGCTCTTAATTGAATGTCTTGACGCACACGGTTAAGCTGATGATTTAACTGCCCTTTTTTTTCCAACCAGGGAAAACCTCTCCCGAAGACGGAGCAGAAGTTTGAGAATTTCGTCAAGAGTTCTTTTAAAATCTCTGACAAGAAAGTAAGTAATCGTGATGCATCATGCATGCATTTATTTATTACTCATGGTCTTTAGGAGCACTTATGAGGCAACTGAGATTGCTCTTTGTTTATTTTTACATCCTACATTTTTTTTACATTTTCTTATGCGATGTGCAATTTATGTCATTTGCACTTTTAGCCAAAAGGAAGTTGTTTTGGTTTCCAGATATTTTCCAGTTGCTGGGTGTTAGTAGCCAAGGTCACCTTTACATCAACCTCCTTTTCAGCGTTAAGAGCTTTTTGCCATGATGGATATCCAAGAATGTCTTATTGTTCCCCACGCTGTCCTCGTACTTCCACTGTCCATTATGCCTCAAAGGCCTCCGCAGCACAGTGTGTTCTCTATGAATTATGCTCATTTTGTTGTCGGCCGGCTCTTTTCGAGATGGGAATGGGAGTACACCTGCCAAGGCAAACTCTTTCTCTGTGATTTACTGGAGTGTGTCTTTTGTAGTCTTAATGAAGGGACTGGTGGTATGAGGATGGTACCAGTCTCTCTCTTTCACATTCGAGGCTTTGGACCAACCTGACATTTTTTTTTCTCCAAATGCAAGCCTTCAATCTTTTCTAATGCTGCCTGTCATTTTAGAAAAAAAACAGTCTCTGCAGATTGTTTTGCAGAGCCTGAATTAATCACCCAAAACCTTTTTAGACGTTTAGGCAGTGGGCTGGATGCAACACCTCAGTTTTCCTTTATCAAAAGCATCTCTTAAAAATGGCTATTTGAGCGATCATGTGTGATTTTACTGCAGTATTAAAATGTTAGCTGTACAGTTATGAGCGCAGGTGAAAGCTCTTTAGACCGGCGCAAGAGCTGGTTGGACAGGAAAACGAGCGAGGGGGATTGGGGGGGGGATGGGGGGGGGGGGGGGGGGGGGGGCTTGTTGATCCCAGTGTGTAGAAAACATCTGTGGAAGTGCTTTGGTTTCATCAGCCAAGGCTGAGATCTGTCAGACCTGGAGCACCTAGTCATATACTCTGGTATGTAATGTTGCCCCCACCCAACCCCTCGTCGTTCCCCTCAACAGCCCCCGTCTAAAGTCAGCGTTCCCACAGGCGAGACGCACACAAGCATGTTTGAGTAAAAAAAAGTGAGTCATGTGTGTAACGCTGTATAGCACCTCATCGGGATGATTTATAATTCCTTTCTTCTGTTCTGTTGTTACCCCCTCCACCCCTCTCCACCCCTCTCCGTACCTTCCTCAGGTGGTCAAGGACCTTTGGAGTTTTGTACAAACACTGAAGATCGGGAAGAAGTAACAAACCTTTACAATTTGAAGCATTTTTATATGTTTTGCATCCTGCAAGACATTTAAAGGCACAGTCAGCGACATTTCCTACTTGGCCTTATTACGTCATCATTACTAACTCTGACTTGGAGTGAAGATGGACTGAGGGTTAGGTATATGGGGAAAGACTTTACTGATTCAGATTTTTAATTTTCTTTTAGTTGGTAAGATGTGAAGCACCTCCTGAAGCTAGTTTGCAATTCACACTTGAATGAACTCAATCAGCCACGTTCAGCAGGTTGCAGATTTTCTAAAAGTAGTAGCTTCATCACATGCAAATCTGAACCACTTACAAGGAAGGAAAGGAATAACAATACCCATTAGGATCTGCAGATATGGCTGCATTCCAATATCTATGAATCATAACTATTAAGTATGCAAGAAAAACATTTGGCATCCTTTGATACATGGATGTTAAACATGGTGATATTCTTCAGTAGATACACTACAGAGATTCACTCTGGTTAGCACTGCTTCTATACATTTCCATTGATCTCCAAGATTTACAATTTTCCAACAGAATTCAAATTGAGCTACAGACTATTAAGTTAGCCCGATCAAGAATGTTCAAAGCACAGTGCTATGACGAGGTAGCATGTCCGATTGTTTGCATACTTCATGCTAAGTATGTTCTTTGTGAGGACGGCTGCAGTGTAAAAAAAAAAAAAGTTGATTCATTTTTTTAAACTTGCTTCACCTACAAGCAATACAAGTTGCACATGCAAATATCAACAGCTGATTTAAATAAGAGATCAATTATTAGATAACAAAGTTTACTCAGAAGAGTCCAGACAGAATCTAGTGAAGTCACTGCTTGGATTTTGGTTTTCTGGTCATACCCTGTTTAACACAAAGATACCTTTGCTGTCTGTGAGATTTGGAAATGTAACTTTTAATATACTACTATTAAGGAGAAAGACATGTTTAAACTCTACACACCAGGGTTCTTTGATGTACATTATAAAAACGCAACCAGCTGCTGACTGCAGGTGGAGAAACTTTCTAGTTTGCAGAAGTTATTCCTTTCCTTGCTTGTAGACGGAGAGATTGGTATGCCTACATTTCTTTTTACAAAGTTGGGTTATGTTGCCTGGAACTGCACCTTACAATCTGCTAATGCTGCTGCTCTTGCAGTGTGATGCTATGAGCTGAGCCTAGTTTCAGGTGCTTCGCATCTATGACACCGTGTTCTTAAGTCCACAATGCAATAGGAGATATTGCAGAATGTGCCTTTAAATATCTCTACTGTAAATTGAGAGTCACCAGATGTGTGAATTTGAGCCGTGATTACAAGGATGGTTAAGACATCTGAGCGGGGGGGAGGGGGGACAGTGATGACATCTTTCCTCTTGAGATGTTTTTGTGTTATTTTAAGTTGTGTCTGGCTTTAAAATGCATTTTTAGCTTGCAAAACTTTCTGATTGTACTATGAATCTGAGAAATTGCTTGATACGTATTGAACAGAAACTGGTCAGTTTATGTTGATGTTTATGTTTTTTTTCTGTCCTTCAATTTTGGTAAGAGCAACCCCTGCAGCAGAACATACCTGCAATAATCAGGTGTTTTCTATAACTCTTAAGGGCCAACAACACAAACACAACAAAATATTATTATGTCTTTATTTGAACTCGAAAATCATTGAAAGCATAGCCTTCATTTACAATGACGTTGAGCAGGATAAACAATGAAAAATAAAATATATGTACACTTACACATATACTGTATACATACACACATAAAAAACACATCATAGATAAACAAAATCAGTTAAAAACCGACAAATCGATAATAAGAAGTATTAATACCGAAGCATCTTCATCTATGTTTGCAGTTTTAATCTCACTGCTGTTGCTCATCATCATCATGTAAACGTTTGCGTTAGCAGGACGTGTGTCAGCCATTGTTTTACATCCTGGCATTTCTGAACAGTGTTATATCTTAGTGTTTTAATTAGAGCCTGACCGATTCATCAGCCAGCCGATATTAGCGTATCAAGTGACTATCGGTGTCGGCTAATTTTATCGCAGATAAGCGCGGATATTACTAGATTTATTCACCAGTCAAAGAATCTCTTTCACCAGCAGAGGGCGCTATATGGATTATAACGAGCATCATCACTCTCCAGAGTGTCAAGCTGCAACACACAGGCGCAGTTACTTTCCAGTTCAGTGACCATCATGTCCTCGTTATCCTGTATATCTTTAGTGTTTGATAAGTGTTTGATAACGCATTCAATGTTTATTTCTATATCTACCCACTTCTACAGATCGACGATAGATCAAAGAAAGATATCGGCCGATTTATCGGTATCTGATTTTTCTCTCTTCCTAATGTCGACATATCGGCATCGCCCCCAAAAATCCATATCGGTCGGGCCCTAGATTTAATACTTCAATCCAAATGTAGTCACATTTATATTAGCATCATGGAAACATGCAGAACCTGCAAATGTTACAAACACGCTGACTCGACCCGTTCAGAGCGAATGAATTCATATCAAGCCCGTTAACGTGCGTCATAACCTAAAGGGTGATTACAGATCAAGTGTTCAGAAGAGCGACACACAAAACCTTACAAAGAGTATTATGAGGTCCATAAAAGCAACACAGATAGACGCACAGACTCAAATGATTTTATAAACACAACATACACAGCAAGTTAAAAACACGGCTAACTAGCTCCAGGAGTAGAATTTACGACGTGTAATCAACGCTGTTAAAACATATTACAGGCCTATGATTAACACAGACTTTCTTATTTATTGCAACGTAATCACAAGGTGTATATCAGAGGGACATGAGAGCCCATAAAGAAGTCAAACCCGGTAATTGTTTGCACTCTTGTGTATCAGCACTCTGGTGACAATAAGCACTCACACCGGCTGTGCGTATGATGTGTTTATGATCCTGTTTGAGGCCTTTTTTACGAGACAAATGTTGGCGGCTGGGTACCATCTTAAGCCAATCAAATCACTTTGTCTAACCTAAAAAAAACTATTTAAAATTCCTTACCTATAAACTGTACTGTAATAATGTGTCATAAAAGTCGCTCTGGTCATTTACCGTATCAGTAGATTTTAAATTACGTCTGAAATTTCTCAGTTTTCAGAAGGAGCAGCATTTCTCATGGTTTGTGTGCGAGTTCCTTCAAAGTCCTTCATCAATACTATCTTTGAACACTTCCCTTGTATCAAACCAATTGAACGTCTCTGTAAATACATCTCTTGCTTTTTTTTTTAAATACGGCAGCTGAATTATGATATATGTTTAAGTGTATGCGTAATCCGCCCTCGCTAATCGCTGATTTTGCAGCTTGAAAATGTTGTAATGATCTTTTATTTGAAACATTGTGTTTGCTAGTTTGGAGTAGACGTGTGATTTACTTGTTAAATAGTTTTTAATTTCTTTCCTGTTTTTTTTTTTGTGTGAACTTTTTTTTTAACTTTTTTTTTTTTTTAACTCTGCTGTCGTTGTATCTTGGAGTCACTCTCCTTTTGATTCTGTGCTGAGAGGAGTTTTGAAGCCATCATGATGTCCAACGACGCATCTTTGTGTAGTGACAACAAAATCAATTTGAAGTTAAGGTCCCTGAAATGCTATTGGCAAAAAATGATGTTAGAAACAACATAGAGTTGTCTTGGTTTTGAGCAGTAGTGTACGACGGAGGATTAGGGCCATGTTAAAAAAAAAAAAATAACAATAATTTTGAGATTAAACTCGAAAATTTACGACTTTATTCTCGTAAATTTATGACTTAAATCTCGTAAATTTACGACTTAAATCTCGTACATTTACGACTTTATTCTCATAAATTTACGACTTAAATCTTGTAAATTTAGGACTTTATTCTCGTAAATTTATGACTTAAATCTCGTACATTTACGACTTTATTCTCGTACATTTACGACTTTAATCTCGTAAATTTACAATTTTAATCTCGTAAATTTACGACTTTATTCTCGTAAATTTACGACTTAAATCTCGTACATTTACGACTTTATTCTCGTACATTTACGACTTTAATCTCGTAAATTTACAATTTTAATCTCGTAAATTTACGACTTAAATGTCATGAATTTATGACTTTATTCTCGTAAATTTACGACTTTAATCTCGTAAATTTACAACTTTAATCTCAAAATAAAAAAAATGAAAAAATTTGAACGTGGCACTCATCCTCCGTCGTAGTAGTGAGTGTCTCTGGTTGTATGAGACTATTGGGACGCGTAGGTTGATGTTTTATTGACCCCCTCTCTTTCTCTCTTTTTCTTTTCTTTTGTGTTTTTGTCTACAACCTAAATGACTTCTGTAAAAACATCAGTCATGAGTGACAGTTGGATTCATCGAGCCTCTGCTGCATGTGTCCGTTCATCTTAAAATGTAAAGCTGATTCTCTGATTTCCAATCTGAGTGTGTTTGAGTCCATGATATCTGTGCAGACTCGACATGAAAAGTGCATTTTGTCCATGTAGCTGGTCTTTATTGATTTCTTCATGCATGATTGCTGATGCTAGATTTTCATTCTGTCATGGTTTGTTGAGATGAACTTGTCCATCTATATTTCTTTTTTTAAACCTTCCTGTAACATGTACCTGAATAAAGCGAACCCCAGATGGTTTTAAGTTTCATTTTTGTGACGTTTTTGTGGCAGTAAACAAAAGCAAATTCTGAGTGTTCAGAATTAAAGACAGGGTTGGTCATTTTCTCCAGATACACTTTTTTAAGATTTTGGTTGAAGTGTCTTTAGGTCCTGACAGAAATGAATAACTCATGTTCTCTGAAAAAGGAACGAAGAAAATCTGTCATCTGTATCAGTTGTAAGTCTGTAAAAACTTCAACCAATGTCTGCTACGAGGTACCAATCTGATGAACCAATCAGACGCCTCCCTGTCTCCCTGCTCGTTCTCTACACAATGCATGCACGAGCCCACACTCAAAGAGATCAACTGAAGTCCGCTTCTGGAGCACGGCGCTTGTGCTTGTAAGTGAGGGGGAGTGGCTTTAGAGGGAGCACAGAGGGGAGGGGGCGGGTGCAGACGGAGCACTGAGGGAATGCTACTTTCAAAATCATGCTCGTTTTCAAAAATTACCACCCCTGCCTTTAAGGTTGTATAATGTTCCCTACTTTTCCATACCACATGTTTTTAAACGATACATTCTCCATTTCTTTAATGAACGATAAAATCGAGAAAAAAAAAAAAGGTCCTAACCTCTCCCACACCAGTGTGCCTGTAAGCGCTTCAGAGACCACTCCACTATCAAACACAGGTAAGCTGCTCCACTGTTTATCAAAAACAAAAAGTATGTTTGAAAAGGAGACAGATGAAGTTCAAGGGCATATATTCCCATCGCTTATCTACTATTGTCATTAAATGACAATGTGAGGTTCACATTTTTTTATGTGTATTTTGAAACCCTTCTGTAAAGGCTATATATGTGATTTTTTGATCCAGCAGATGTCGCCTTGAGCACCAGCATGAAACCAAAACAACTCGTGCGCTGCATTGTTGTGTTAGCATGCTAATGCTAGCGATCTTTATTATGCTGGTATCTTCACACTGCATGTAAATTACCTGAAATGAGCGTGATCTAGAAACACAGTTAATCAGTGAGTACAGTATGTTAATTCTTCTTTTCTCTAGTCCTCATTAAACAACTTTTATACACGAGGGGAGGAGTCAGCCGGCCGTCCTGGCGATGTAAACAAAGTGAAGATAGGACTCTGAAAACTCTGAAAACATCACAGACAGTGGGACTCGGGTGTTACACCCATTGTAGACAGTCATGACTCACAGAGTTATTTTCAGAGGATATACTTGATTTCTATTATATTTAAGTGTGAAAAATTCCATATCAAGCCTTTAAAAAACATATATATTAATAAAATAATTGTCAGAGATTTTTATCTGAAGCGACAGCTGAAATCAAAGGGGCAGAAATCTGCTCTCTTTAATCTGTGGGGGGAAATGCTCTCAAGGTGCTGCTGAAGATCGACTTCTGAGTTAGACGAATCAAGTAGTGTTGGGACCAAATTCCCTTTTTTTGTTATTCTCTGTTTGGGAGAATAACAAAGACATCTTGAATAGGGCTGGGAAATATAACGAGTTTTTAAAGATATATCGATATATTTTCAAACAAGATATAGGGTTAGACAATATCGTTAATATCGATATAGTTTATGTTGTATTAAAATAACGTTACTCGAGGTGCCAGGTCACCTTTTTCTCATCTCACTGATGATGACTGACTGTCTGTCCCTCTTCACCCTGCTCCTCCTCTCTCTCTCTTTTATTGTATTTAAGGAACATTTTTATTTTATAATATTACTTTTTAAATTCACAAACAGGTAGTTTATTTTTCCATGTGTTTTCACTGTTAATAAAATACATATAGATATATATGAGTATCGCCATTCAGCTAAACAATATCAAGATATGAGTTTTGGTCCATATCCCCCGGCCCTACTCTTGAAACTGATCTGTGACTGTCTTAAGAACTCAGCAGTGTTATCATTTGTGAGTCAGATTTGAAAAACTTCAGCAGTTTATCATTTGTGAGTCAGATTTGAAAAACTTCAATAATCAATATCAAGATATGAGTTTTGGTCCATATCGCCCAGCCCTACTCTTGAAACTGATCTGTGACTGTCCTAAGAACTCAGCAGTGTTATCATTTGTGAGTCAGATTTGAAAAACTTCAACCCTTCTCTTTATTAACAACCGTCAGTCTGTGTTGTCACCACTAGGTGGCGCTGACATCCAAAGCCTTAACTTCAAAGCCGGACTTCACAATGATATAAAATTGATGAAGTTTTTTACCTGAAGTGTGAGTCAGGCATTACTTCACTGCCAGCTGAACACTTTTTTTTGTCCCGTAGCCTCGAGGAAGTGAGGCGCACTAGCGGATGCAGCTACGGGATGACGCACGATTTTATGTTCCAAACAGGAACGACTGAGAGGCACGTGGAAATCCCCCCCTTTGTGGTTTCGCTTGAATTCCAGTACGGGGTTTGACTGAACCAGCCTGGAGGTATTCACTGACACACACACACACACACACATGCAGCAAAATCCTAGGGTGCCAAAAAAATGACATGAGGAGCATCAGTGGGGTATACAGAGTTTCCATCACACCCTCCAACCCAAATCACAATTCTTTCCCAAAAATAACCATTCCTTTGCACATGGCTAACAAATCTGAGACATTTTGTTTCATTTCACAAACAGTTTGTTTAGACTAAGGCACCAAGTTTACTCAGAAGGATTTAGGCTAAGTTTAGTTTGGGCTTAAATGTTTGCCTACGTTAATGCTGACTTTGATTTAACCCCCCAAAAAAGGGAGTTTCAAATGGAAAAAGCTAACTTCTCCCAAGAGCCAAATATTCCTTAAATTCTTGAGGCTTGTTGCAATTCACTTGTAAAATCGCATCCTGTTGAAACTCAGTTATGTACCAATGAAATTAGTTCTTTGAATCACAATAATCAGGAATAAACAGGAAGTGAAGTACCCCAAGGAGCATCTAGAGGTGGTACACAGATAAATAAGCACAGACAATGCAGAGAAGAAGCACATTGATTTATTTTTTTTGAAGCACTAGCAAGAGGAGGAGAAGACGTCTGAGAAAGAAGACTTCAAACAATTCTGTTTCAGATTTAGAAAAAAGTCTTTGAATTGAACTTATTGTTGCATTTGATGTTAACATTTCATTATTTTTGCAGTCATATTGAAAAAAGGCAAGAAAACCGTATGAAGAAAACCTGGTTGTATTAAAGACCATGTGTCCGTGGGCAGTGTGTGCTTTAACAAAATAAAACTACAGGAAGACGCAATTAAATACACAAACACACATTCATACAACGAGCAGCGCAGCAAAAAAGACATGACAGAAGACATAATATATCAAATTAAGAGATCAAAAAAAGAAAGAGATATGACTTAAGAAGTACATAAGACATTAATATATCCTCAACTCAGTTAATCTTTAGTGTGTCTACACATGTTTTAAATTTGAGTTTGAGTGTCCGCTTGAGGCTGGATCCAAGAGGTCACATTCACACCAAATTCAATGAACGATACTTGTTATCTATAGTTAGGAGCGAGGCTGATGGCCACTCTTCTCACTTCTCCACTCTGTCTTCGTCCTGTCCTGTCCAATAAAAGGTCAAAAGGCCAAAAATGTATCTAAGAAAATGAGGATTAAAGCAGGATCATACCATAGTTTATGAAAATAAAGTTTGTCTGAGTCAATTTATCTGGATAACTCACTGATCATAGTTTTTTTTTATAGTTCTCATTGGGACTATTTGTTCTGCACAAAGAATAGATTTTATTTGGACTGGAGGTAGAATCAGCATGCTTTGATACCGCTACAAGTGAGTAAGATTAAATATATATCTTTTCTGATTTGGGTGAACAGACTCAGAAATGGTCAAACTTGTTCTGTTAGTGCCAGTCGCTCACTTTAACAGTTTGATCAAAGAGGAACAAGGAGGGGGGGGGTGAGGGGGGTGCACAGGTGAGTGTGCAGGTATCACTAACACAACATTAGGGCCATTAGGGAAATGTTGCCCTTTTCTCTAATCCAGCAGTCACACGATACAGGACAGGACAGTCATCACAGTCTGTTCTCCATCTGGACCATCTCTCCAACCTCTGTGTGTGTGCGTGTGTGTGTGTGTGTGTGTGTGTGCGTGT